AGGCAGTAGCGGTTCCAGCCCTGCCTGCTCTGGACTCCTGTCCCTTCCAGGCAATCCGGCTCATCCAGGCCTGCGTGGATGTCCTCTCCAGCAATGGCTGGCTCAGCCCTGCTCTGGCAGCTATGGAACTGGCGCAGATGGTCACCCAGGCCATGTGGTCCAAGGATTCTTACCTGAAGCAGCTGCCACACTTCACCTCCGAGCACATCAAACGCTGCACAGACAAGGTGAGCAGGTCTCGACCTGGTGTTGCGTGCGTAGGCGTGAGACCTGAGGCCCGTGGGTCCTGGACTTGGGGTGGGGCGGGGGAGCGAGTCACTGTAGGGAAACGTCTAGCTCTGGTTCCTCCGAGGGTGTCACCTGCTGAGATGCCCAAAGAGCCTGGCAGCTGTGGGCCGTGGTCTCCTGAAGCTGTCGTCTTTACACGGTCCCTGGTATAGGAAGTACAACTGGCAGTTACTCAGTGCTGGTTTTTATCTGCTCTTAGGCTGTGTTCTTTTCCTCCCTGACCTCTTGACTACTCACTGCAGGGAGTGGAGAGTGTTTTCGACATCATGGAGATGGAGGATGAAGAACGCAACGCGTTGCTTCAGCTGTCTGACAGCCAGATGGCTGACGTGGCCCGCTTCTGCAACCGCTACCCTAATATCGAACTGTCCTATGAGGTGGTGGAGAAGGACAGCATTCGCAGGTGAGTTGGGGTCGCTGCCGGGCACAGCGTGACGTGTGCTCTGTGACCCTGTGCCCAGCTGCTGAGGTGCTGTGCTCCTGTCCCTGCAGTGGTGGGCCTGTCGTAGTGCTGGTGCAGCTGGAGCGAGAGGAGGAAGTCACAGGCCCTGTCATCGCACCTCTGTTCCCACAGGTACGTCCTGGGTAGCTGCTTTACCGGTTGTTTGCGGGAGTCCAGGGTACCAGGCTGCGTCGTCACTGGGGAGGGAGCTTTAATAGTGAAGTCACACGGCTGAGGAGTCCTCTCGGGTCATGTTTCTCTTTTCCTGCTCACCTTGAATTTAGTTAAAAATCGCTTAGATGGCAGGACGTTGTCAGAACCAGTTGTGCATTACTGTCTGTCCCTGTGACTGTGAAGGGCATCTGTCTCTAACCCTGAATGGCCCCGGGACAGCTGGGCTTCCTGGTTGGTGTTTTCTGCTGTCTCCTTTCTCAGCGCCACTCGCTCTGCTTCTCGTGGCTGATTCTTCACCACCAGACCCTCCTTATGTGGGACATTTGGAGTTGGGAGGAGAAACCAGATCCCATCATGTTTAATTTTATAAATCAGTTGTTCAGTAGCCTCTGAGGAAAGAGTGTTTTAAACTGTAATACTTTGGCTTTATAACAGTGCAGTGACCAACAGTTTTTTTTTTTTAAATATTATATATATATATGTACGCATATATATAGTTGAGAATATACACAGTAAAACCATAACCAGTTCATTTCTTTATGTCCATTTCAGTAACATTGATTGTGTTTTTCAAGTTGTGCGACCATTCTCACCTCCCTTTTCTGTTTCTCCCTCATTAACATAAATTCACTGCCCCTTAAGGTCCCTATATAATCTTTCAAGTTGCTCTTGTCAGTTTGATCCCATATATATATATAGATCTTAAAAGAGCACAATGTTTAAGATAGACATTTTTTTTTTACTAGTTAAGCTAAATTATTGTTTGGTTTTTAAGAAGACTTCTGGGGATATTTTTCATTCAAGGTTTAAAGATTATCTTAGGACAGTAGTTATAGGGGTTCACCCAGCCTTTGTGGCTCCAGAAAGTCTGGATTCTATGAGAACTTTAAATTCTGTTCTGCATTTTCCCCCTTTTGATCAGGATTCTTCTCTGGAATCTTTGATCACAGTACTTATACATAGTAGCTGGCAGATAGGGCTTGTTGATAGAAGCAAGGCTTATGTCTTCCACAAGTCCTGTCTGGATCCTTTCTGCTGGCGGCTTATCTCCATGTTAAGATATTTTTTTCTTCAGGCATATGTGCCTTCTCCTTAAAAAAGGGTCTCTGAGGAAGTCAAAGCTTCCAGGCCCCAAAGACTAGATCTCTAATGGTGGGATCGTGCCTTCAGTGGCAAGCACTGAGTGGAAGAAGGTACCTTGGGACGTGGAAATGAGTCAGAACCCACCAATGAGTCCATCTCCTTGAAAACTGAGCCCATTCGAGAGACCTTTTGACAGTTTCATAATCTTTGTTGTTATAGCCAAGTGTGTTTCAGAAAGAAACTTCGGGAAGCTTTCTGGCTGGTTTTTGTTTTCCCACTTCTGTAGTTACTCTCATGGTCCTGTGGTCGAGTTTTGTGTGCTACAATTCTTGGCTTTGGTCCCTGCAGAAACGTGAAGAGGGCTGGTGGGTGGTGATTGGAGATGCCAAGTCCAACAGCCTCATCTCCATCAAGAGGCTGACCCTGCAACAGAAGGCCAAGGTGAGTGTCTGCTGCCCAGCGTTTGTTCTGAAGGCGGGCGGGGCGGGCACCCCCCCGTGGCCATGCTCTCCCTGGTGTCTGCCTGCTCTTCCTGGTGTCTGCCTGCTCACCCTGGTGTCTGCCTGCTCTCCCTGGTGTCTGCCTGCTCTCCCTGGTGTCTGCCTGCTC